CTTATGCTCATCACCCCAAATCGTTAACAAAAAGAATGAAATGCATAAGCCTCCAATTTTAACGTATCCATGCAACCCAGTGCTAAATAAATCTGTGGAGCTTCTCAGGCATCCAAGTCATGGTTGTCCCAAAGGCGCTTTTTCAAGAGACAACTGGACTTTCTTGTTTTTTCTTTGAAGATGTTTTGCTTCTCATCCAAATAACTTCTTCAGTTCTGACTCTGATCCTTCCATTGCCCACCGTTCAGTCAGAGCTGAAGAAGCTTCTTGAATGAGAAGCAAAACGTCTTCAAAAAACAACAACAAAACACCTAAGAACGTTCAGTTGCCTGTTGAAAAAGCGCCTTTGGGATATTTAGGACCCCCAATGTACAAGGTTACATTTCAAGGCAGGGAATCGGTGGCTCTACTTCTCATCAGTCTGAGCAAGCCAAGTCAGGAATCATGGAATAGTAGTCCAAAGAAGTTTGCAAGGCCAGAGGCACCTCACATTTCGCCCCTGGAGTTAGAGCGCTGCAGGGAAAGGCAAGCACTCGACCGCTTCCCGTTGCTCCGCGGGGCTGTGACCTTCTGGCCACACGGAATAGGAAGCAAGATCCTGAGCTTTTGCGCCGCCTCCGCAGTTCCGCCTCCGCCCTCGTTCGGGAAGCTTGACGGGTGTCGCCCGAGAGGCTCCTACGGGAGCTAGAGCAGTCGCGGCCTGCACGAAATTGGGGTGCAAAGAATGGGGTACGAGCCAAGAGAATCGCTGCTTACCCCTTCAGGAGGCGCGTGAGCGGAGGAAGCGCAGACGGCATGTTACCCCTTGGCGAATGGCCACGGTTCCTCTTCCTCTGGTGGCTGCTGCTTTCCGCGGTTGTCGAAGGTAGTTCTCAGGGAGGTGCTTTCCAAGCCGTGTCAAAATAGCGTTGACGGGTGGCTGGAGCGGACCTGGGCGAACCGTTAAGGAATCTGAAGATTCTTGTGCCTTTTAATTAGGTAGATTGTGTGGTTTTTGTTAAAATCCCATGTAAGGAATGGCCTGAATTTTTCAGCATCTGAATAAGGTTGCTATCTTTCCAACCCTCTCATGAGTTCAGGCCTCATCTTAGCAGGTCGATAAGACAAATAAATAAATAAATAGATGGTAGACTATAAAACCAAAGGTCGGTAGCCAGAGACTTCCCATTTGTAGGATGGAGGAAGGCTTGTCTTCAAGGCAAAGGTCGGCTCTTTGGATTGAAAAATGGCAAATCTATGGGGTAGCTTTAATACGCTTTGATAAGTTTTATTTATTTATTTTATTTATTTATTTATTTGATTTGCCAATTGTTTACAAGATAATAAGTATAAGTGTATACATGGTTGTGAATACATGAAATGGGTACATATAAGAAAAAATAAAAGAATAAGAGAAATAAAAGAATAAGAGAAAGTTCAGGCGGCTTCTTGGAAAAAGAGATACTGGTCTGTAAAGTTCTGAATCTGCTTTTTTTTTTTAATGGTTGTGATCTAGAACTGCATCATTAGCCTACATAGTTATGAATATTGTTATTTAAACAGACATTTATGGGACAATATGATGAGAACTAAGTGGACCTATAGGATTGCTATGAATATGAGCAATACAGATATTTGCTTGGTACCTTTTAAAAAATTATATAGACACTTTCAAAATAAATGAGTGGTTCCAGTAAGACTACAAAAGCTGATGAATGGATTACAGTTAATAGGCAGGTAAAAAATGAGTTGTTAGATATACATGTATAATACCTCTATGAATTATGATTACTTGTCTTGATGCATCGTGTTTTAGTGAATGTAGTTGCCAAAATAATCTGCATTAATATTTTGGGAAGAGCTTCTCTCTCTCAGCTCTATTCTGTAAGGCTAAATTTCCCAAAATGAAAAACAAACAAAATAAATGCACAAAAATCTACTTAAAAAGCACTTAAAAATCATGCAAGCAGTAAAAAGCACCATGAGCATTATCTAGCATGTACGATCTATCTAAATAAATATGTTTAATATTTCTCAAGTTGTGTTCCTCAGAACCCCACAGTTTCATGAGCACTTGGTGAAGTTCTGTGTTGAGAGAAGAAACATAACTTGAATACTGCCAATTTACTGTCACTGGAACTTTACCTCTTTTTCACTGCTTCTGAATATTTTTTCTTTTTCAACCTTGAGTATGAAACCCCCTGCTTTAAAATACTGTATTATCTTAGTTCTCAGAGCAAGATATTTCTAGTAAGTTTATATTTTACAAAGTGTTTGTAGGCGGTTAACTTTCCATGGCAACAACTATTTATTTCTAACCATACCATTGTGATAGTTGGAGAATTTTTTTGGACTTAAATTCTATCCTTCTTTTGGATCTATCCTTCTACCCATACCTCCCAAAGCCCTCTCTCTTCAGTCTATCTCCAGAATTCAAGTTGGAAAAGGTGTCCAAAGTTACCATTGTGACAGTTCTAACGCTAATTGGGACTCAGTTAAATGCACTGATTTTAACCTGAGCACTCATGGTAGCTTCCTCCTGTCCCTCCCCCATGTGTGCACCTTGAGAGGGGCTGCTCTGGGTTTCCACTTCATGGGAGTAAGGGAGTAATGGATATCTTAACCTTGAAGTAGGGAAAGTGCTCTGCCTTGCTTGTGTTTTACAAAACAGTGGAAATAACCCTGATAGGCTTCAAACAGGTTTGCATTTGTAATTGTTGGGAATTTTAAGAAGTTTTGTGTAAATTGCTTTGAATCACCAGAAATTAGGATGGTATAAAAATATGGCAATAAGTGTTCCTATTGACATGCTGATGATAAGCTTAGTTATTACCCTCCAGAATATTATATCTGCATCAGTAATGGTCAACTCACCTCTCCATTGAAGTGTTTGGGAGTATGGTGAATTGTGGATGTTATGTTTTTATTCCTTTTAGCATCTCTTATTTTTTTGCCTTTTTAGGATTTTCTCTCTCCTTACCAGCACCACAGAATTTGACAATTAAGTCATATAATTTTCAGAATGTATTGAGCTGGTCTCCAGTTAGGGGAATCAATGGTCCGGTGTTTTACAGTGTTCAGTGGTGCTTGTAAGTAAACAGTTGTCAATTATGAAATATAAATTTCTATTCTTTATCACATGTTGTCATTCAAATTACACCACTAAGGAATTCTACTGTCTTTATATTATATTGCAGAGAATATGACCAAATATGGAAAGAAGTGAACTGCA